CCCCAAATTGACAAAATTAGGGCAGATTTCGCAAGAATCGTGCCTACTAAAGGGCATGTGAAAATTGGGGCCAAAGATGCTAAACATGTCTTCATTGATGTTGAGAATGAAGAAGACTACAATTTAATAGCTTCATACACCTTTATACAATTTGGTGACGACCAATCCATGAAGATATAGAGGTGGACCGCTAATTTCAAACCAAACAAGGCTATGTCTCTAGCACCGGTGTGGATCAATCTTCCAGATCTTCCATGGCATTACTACGAGTGGGCAGCCCTCTGTAGGATTGCTGGGCCTATTGGAACACCAATTGTCATGGATAAAGCCACTCAGACAAAAACCAGACCAACGACAACAAAAATGAGAATTGAGATAGATTTATTGAAACCTCTGATCACGGAAGTTCAGGTGGCCATTCAGAACCCAGAAGGTATCTTGGAGACATTCAATCAAAAATTGAATACGAAATAGTCCCCCTTTTTTGCTCTCATTGTAGAATCCAAGGTCATATAAGGGAGGTTTGTCAAAGTGCCCCCAAAACTGATCATGTGGATACCCAAAATAAGAAGCTAGCAGAAGAAGAAAAGAGGAACCAGCAGGCTGAGAGAAACAACAACAACCAGATTAACAAAGGCAGCATATATAGTCCTAATAAACCCACTTCTAGCACCATCAGTACAAAACATGGAACACAACAAATAGAAGTCGATACAAATATGAGCGACAAACAAGTCACCAAGGCTTCCACATCTACTTTAAAGGGAGGATGGCAACAAGTGGATAAAAGAAAAGGAAAAGGCAAAAACAACATCAATGTGAGTTCTTCTCCAAAGAACCCACAAATCAGTGAGGAGAATCAAGTCATAAGTCAAGGTAACAACTTTCAGCTTAATGACAATATGTTCAATCAAGTAGCTGAGAAGGAAATAATGGAGCAAACGATGAAGACTAGCACAGATAAGGAGAACATTGTGCAAGGAAAAATTGAGGAAGACTCTAACTTTATCTTTGGCATGAACTCCAGATGGGACAGAAAATACGACAACAAAACAAAGGAAAGAAAGCAGAACAAGAACGAAATGCACCACCATAACCTTAGAGTTAGGAAGAATAGAAATGTACCCTCGACCTATATGGAGAACACTGATCAACAAGCAAAAAGCAACAAGGATTCCTCGAACGGTCATGACGCCAATAATAGCAAAAGGATGCCTTCCAAGAAACAGAGATTCAAAGACAAAGTTAGTATCACTAAAGGGGTTACTACTAAGGGAGAGGATCAAGTACCCAAGACTGTACCCCAATGGACCCCCATAAACTTTACTCAAATGCAGAACCAGGATTTGGATATACTGAAGAAGAAAGAGGGAAACGGACATCAAAATCCTGAGGTTGAACCCCCAGACTCAATGGAAGAGCTTTTTAATGTTCCAGTGGGCCAAGTGCAAGAATTGGATATGGTATCTGGTGACAAGCTCAACCAGGAAATGTTTATGGAATGTATTGAAGGGGATATTGAAAAATCTCTATCAGATGATGAAGCGATCATGGAGGATATCAGAAAATCCTACCCTGAGGAGTCACTCTGCTTTCGAGACAAGGAGCAGACTAATGTTTCCAATATCAACAACTTGTCCCCAAGGAATCAACACAATATTGGAGGGAGATAATTTTTCAAAGACAAGTCTATTGACTCCTCAGTGGCAGATCAAAGCCCCCCCCCCNCAAGGAGCAGACTAATGTTTCCAATATCAACAACTTGTCCCCAAGGAATCAACACAATATTGGAGGGAGATAATTTTTCAAAGACAAGTCTATTGACTCCTCAGTGGCAGATCAAACCCCCCCAATCCTAATACTTCCCATGATTAATACAATATCGTGGAATATCAGAGGTATAGGGTCCAAAGGATCTCTTGAGAGACTCAAAACCTTAAAACTTCAATATTAACTTCCTCTCATCTGCCTACAAGAACCTATGGTGGATAGTAGCAAGATTGAGAAATTCAAAAGAAAGCTGAGAATACAACATGCCTTCTTTAATTGCTCTAACAAGGTATGGCCTTTCTGGACTAATGACATCAACATTAATATCCTCTAAGACAAAGAAAAACATGTTCACATTAAGGCTAATCACAATAATTGCCCCTCCTTCCTTTTAACGATTGTTTATGCTAAATGCTCTGAAGAACTGAGAAGGGAGATATGGGCAGATCTAAGGAACTTAGCTACTACCATCCAAGATCCTTGGGGGGTCATTGGTGACTTTAATATGATTACTAATAGAGAAGAGAAACTGGGTGGCAGATCTCATAGACTAGAGGAAAGCATGGACTTCATAGAATGTCTCAACGAGTGTGGATTACCAGATGCTGGTTTTACTGGTGCTAAAGTTACTTGGTGTGTAATAGGGATCCGCCCCTCACTATATGAAAAAGACTCGATAGATTGGTATATAATTCTGATTGGTTTGATATTCTCAATAGCACAACTGTCACACACCTATCCAGATCCTGCTCAGATCATGCTCAGATCATGCTCCACTTCTAGTGAAGTTGCATCACGAAGATATACAAGGAGCCAGATACTTCAAGTTTCTCAACTTCTGGACTGAACATCCTGATTTCATACAGACAGTACAGAACATTTGGAGTATTTACATCCAAGGCAATGCCTTATTTATCCTGCAGCAGAAGATCAAGAACACTACTAAGGCACTTAGTACATGGTCCAGGTAAACCTTTGGAGATATCTTTGAGGAACCTAAAATATTAGAAAACCTCATTAGGGACTAGAAGAGATCTGCATGACCAATAATACTCCAGAGAATAGAAGTGAACTTTCTAAGAGTAAAGCAGAGTTTATAAGATACCTAAAGATTCATGACTCTATTTTGAGCGAAAAATCTAGAGTTAAATAGTTCAATGAGGGTGATGCCAATACTGCCTACTTCCATGCGACTATTAAAGAGAAAAGAAGAAAGTTGACAATTAGAAGGATTCAAGATGGAGAAGGTAACTGGCTTGAAGATTATGAGTCTTTTGCTGAGGGGATTGTGAACTTTTACAAGAACCTCTTTTCAGAAGACTCCAGCAACACTGACTTTAGAGAACTAGACTGCATTGAAAGATGTATTACTGATGAGGATAACACTAGAATCAGTGCCATCCCTACTCTCCAAGAAGTCACTGACATTGTGTTATCCATAGATGCCAATAGCTCCCCAGGGCATGATGGCCTAAGTGGGATGTTCTATCACAAGTGTTGGGACATTATATCTGAGGATGTGTATAATGCTGTGAAAGCTGTATTCAGAGGCTCAACACTTACCAAATTCTACACTCACACTTGTATTGTCATGATTCCTAAAGTTGATCACCCCCAAAGTTTCTCGGACCTTAGGCCAATTAGCCTTTGTAATGTGTCTTCCAAAATTATTTCTAAAATTCTCAACGCCAGGCTCTCCAGCATATTACCTTGGGTCGTCTCCAGGAACCAATCTGGCTTCATAAAGGGGAGATCAATCTCAGAAAACATACTCCTTGCACATGAGATCATCAGTGACATCAACAAACCAAATAAATGAGGCAATGTTGTTCTGAAACTTGATATGACCAAAGCATATGACAGAGTCTGGTGGATCTTCCTTGGAAAACTTTTAAAGAAGATAGGCCTCAGTGAGAAATGGATTGATATTATTCACATGTACATCTCCAATAATTGGTATTCTGTGCCGGTTAATGGAAGAAGAAATGGTTTCTTCCAATATGAGAGGGGCTTAAGGCAGGGAGACCCTCTCTCCCCTTCTCTCTTTATTTTAAGTGCTGAATTCTTTCTCATATGATGAACAATCTTTATAATAGAGTGGGTTACGAAAGTTTTTACATGAATATTAATTATCCTAAAGTTAATCATCTTTCTTTTGCAGATGGCACCATTCTATTTTGTAATGAAAATAAGAGGTCCATGAGATTGGTATTAAGTACCTTAACTGAGTATGAGAAGATCTCTAGGCAACTCATCAATAAGAACAAGAGTTGTTTTGCAATGAGCACCAAGACCAATTTGGTTACTATCAACAGAATGAAGGCTATCACTGGCATGAAATACCAAAAGTTCCCAATCAAATATCTGGGATGCCCTCTCACAACAGGGAGAAACAAGATTGAATTTTACTCAGATATTGTGAACAAAGTCATAGGTAGAATCAGAGGATGGCATACCAAACTCCTCTCTACTGGGGGAAGAGCCATCCTCATCAGACATGTTCTTCTGGCTCTCCCTATACATCTACTAGCTGCAATGAATCCACCAAAAGGAACATTAGAGCTCATAGAGAAATTTGTAGCCAAATTCTTCTGGTCAGGGCAAGATAGTGGAGGAAAATATTACTGGGCTGCATGGAAAAACTTGTGCTACCCTTATTGTGAAGGTGATGCTAATTTTAGGAGGCTCAGTGATACCTGTAAAGCTTTTAGAGCTTAACAGTGGTGGCACCTTAGAACAACAAACTCTCTCTGGGGTCCTTCATGATTGCTAAATACTGTGATTTGAAGCACCCTATTACTATTAACTGGAATAAGGGGAACTCACAAAACTGGAAAGCCATTTGTGACATCAAAGAAGAAATGGAGCTCAATATTGTTTGGAGCATTGGAAAAGGAGATGTCTCATTTTGGTTCGACAACTGGTGCCCATTGTGACCTCTATACAAGATTACTTCCACAGAGGTCTCCCTGCCAAACATTAAGCTGAATGAAATTCTATAGCACAACACCTGGAATTGGAACATGCTCACCATTTAACCAAATGAAGACACCAAATCTCATCTTTTATCCTTGGACATTAAACTAGAGATCAGTAGCTATGATAAAGCTAACTGGAGCCTTTCCAACTCAAGAAAATTTATCATCAGCTCGACCTGGAACTCTATTAGGTAAAGGAATGACCATAACCCTTTATATAGCAACTTATGGACAAAGGACATACCATTCAAGATGCCTTTTCTCTTATGGAGAGCAGTTGGTAATAAATTCTACATTGACAAGAGAGTGGCTAGGTTTGGATTTACTCTAAACCCCCAATGTTATTGTTGTTGCCCTGCCATCAACCGAACTGAGCTTGAGGACATTAATCACCTATTCTGTCAAGGTGATCTTGCTAGAAAAATTTGGAGGAAATTTGCTGGCCCGTTGGGTATTGGCTGGAATTTCAACAGCCTGAACATAACTCTTTGGAGTTGGTGGAACCACAAATCTTCCAATCCAATCGCGAGATTCATCACCAAGAATCTCCCAATTATCATTTGCTGGGAGCTCTGGAAATCAAGATGCTGCAACAAGTTTGAAGGGACTAGACCCTCAATATATATAACCAGTTCTAATATCACTATTTTCTTTTTGCAGATAATCAAGAAGCAGTTTAGCAGAGTTCGTATTAGAGATAGCTGGAGCATCATATACATAGCCTGTGACGCACACATTCAACAAACTAGCAGTTTCCCAGTAAAATGGATCATACCACTTGCTCAAATAGTCAAACTGAACAGTGATGGAAGTTGCTCTAATGGGAAATATGGAGGGGGAGGTATTATTAGAGACCAAGAAGGAAATTTCATCACTGCCTACTCCATCTCTTTAGGAGTAGGCACCAATAATTATGCAGAAGCTGAAGCACTACTCTTTGGTTTGAAATGGTGTGCCGACAGAGGTCTAAAGAGGGCCATAGGAGAGTCTGACTCACTCCTAATGGTCAAATGTGCCAAAAGGGAGTGGAAACCTCCATGGAATATCAGTAACCAAGTAAAAGAGATCCAGAAAATGATTGAAGTCCACAGCTTCAACATCAATCACTGCTTCAGAGAAGCTAATAGACCTGCCAACAACTTAGCAACTCTGAGTCACAGAATTGAAGGAAACAAGATCTTCAACCTTTTCTCTGATCTGCCTAGCCACATAAGGGGACTAGTAAATATGGACAAATGGAGCTTACCTACCTTCAGAATCAAACACACAAAACCAACTAACATCATCTATGATCCTCCTTGAGCTAACTTTATTTTTGCCATCATTTACTTAGGATAGAGAGTGATAGCCAAATCTCAAGGATCATGTACAAAGTTTGGGATGCCAAACTCAATATGTAACCTTTTACACATCAATGATCAATGGTAACTGTTTAAATAAAAAAAATAATCAGTCTCGAACCGAGCTCACCAATACCGGTATAGATGAAAAAGAACAATAGCTGAAGACAAAAAAAATAATAATATAATTGCTTTTGAGTGCAGGTTACAATGTCTTTCATGAATTATCAGACCCTCTTTATATAGTAATAGGGGAGTTCTATTTTAGGTACAACTCTATAAAAGGTAAAGATCTTTTCATTCACTGATTGTCGGTTTCTTATCGATATGTGCCGAGATTTCCGCTGTAATATTCGGTCGGTCACGGATATTTCGGCCCTCTGTTGGCTATACTGGATTGTCTGGCAATGTTCTTCGAAGCCGTTCAAGGCTAGGACCGATTCCGAGACCATGACCTCGATATTCTCGAAGGCAGACGTCACGCCCCCGGGTTCTGGCCGGTGGGACTTTGGCTCGATTTCGATCCCTTGTTGCCATATCTCAAACCTGGCTTATTTTGTCGGAGGTTAGGATGCACCATGAGCTCGATTTCATCCGTATATAGATAGTCCCCTTATTTTTCGGAGAGTAAGTTACGAGAAACGACATGAGCTTCCGATTCTTACTTCGATGCACCGTGACATAAATGACAAAACAACCGAAATATCTCGTCGATCAAGTCATAATTGCATTAAATGCATGCCAGCCGCCGGTCGGCCGTCCCTGGATGCGAAACGCCGCTGAACTACTATATACCCCCTCCTTTGTTCATTTTGACTTTACATCCAAACCTTCTACCCTCGTACCTTTAAGATTTCGATACTCTTTAGCACTTTTAATCAGGTTATTCGAGGTCCTTTGCAAGAATTTTTACCCATCTTCATCTCAAGTCAACAAGTCTATTCCTTCAACTTTCTTTCTTTCTTCGTCTTTTCTCAGATTTTCCTCTATTTTCTAAAGATATGGCAAAGACTTCCAAAACCATTCCCCATAAAGAAGCTCTTTCTACTTCGTGGCCGGCCATTGAGGATGAGGAGACCGTTCCGCGCGCAGCCGTCGATAAACCAGTACCTGAACCCCCTTAGAAAATGTTCATCCCCGGGGGATGCTCGGTCAACATCGATTTCAAGGTCAAAAAGCCTTCCTCCGTACAGGGACGGTGTGAGGAGGTCTCGAGATACATCTACTCGATTACCGAAGAGGTCCTCCCTACTGTCCGAAAAGATTGCAACTAGGACGATAAAGACATAGTGGTCCACGACCCCCATGAAGCCATTACCACATATGACGAGGGATACTTAAGTGTTTACACTTATCTCTTTACACTGGGCCTGGTGGACCCGGTCATCTTAGATTTTTGCAGAAGGTACAACACGTGCCTAGGCGAGATTCATCCATCGCTCTGGAAGATCGTGATCTGATGGTAGGCTATAATTGCGTATTTTGGCCATTAATTACACTCTAATTCGCTGTACTTTACTAGTGTTTGAGCTTTAAATAGTATTATTTTGCACTGAGTGTGTGTGTTATTCTTTGTATGAGTGATTCTGAGTTGCGATGAGGTTGTGGAGCTAATTGGAGCTATTTTGGAGCTTTGAAGTCTGAGTAAAAGCCCAACGATCAAGTTGGGATCGTGTTCGGGGATCAACGGACAATAGTACATTTAACGGGAGAAACGAAGAGCGAGCAGGAGGCTCACCCAGGTGCGCGACCGCGCATGAGACCCCTCCAGTGCGCACATGAGCATGCAAATGAAGCAGTATACTGTCTGAAGTGCGCGACAATATGCGCGATCACAGACCCAGGTGCACAGCCATGCACGTCCAGTTCCAGAAACTTTTTCCAAGCCTATTTTTGTAATTTTGGAGGCGACTCCTTTTGACCTATATGAAGCCTAGCTCGTCTAAAAAGAGGGTATCTTGGATTTTGAGAGCAACTTTTTGGGAGAGAAGACGGAAGGAAGCAACGGACACGCAAAATACTTGATCCAATTCATTTAATACGAAAGTTTGTTTGATTTTGGGAATTGTAATGTCTTCTTGTTCTTCTAACACTCTTGTGATGAATAAATTCTCCACTATGGAGTAATCTTTCTTAGGTTATTGACGAATGTTGTGATTTAACTATTATTTGGGTTTTACTCTCTGTTAATTGCCCGAATTCATTGAATGAGTTATTAATTGAATTGCAAGGCTAATTGTGGTTTTACTTTAATCGAAAGAGAAGTGTTGCTGCAATTTGCATTGTGCCATATTGTTTGGGTTGATTTTACGCCTCTCATATGTAATCGAAAGAGCTTAGAGAGTTATCAATTAACCCAGTTTAGAAGAATAGTCAAGATGCGTTCTTCGAAAAATCCTTCATTCACTGTATTTGTGCATATGTTCATAGGACCTGTTATTAGGTTGATTAAGGGCACTCTCATTCATTCGGAAGAAGAATTTTAATCCCTAAGGTAGCCTAATCATCTGTTGAAATCGAGGGAGTCAATAGAAATTAAGAGTGAACTTAACACAGAGTTACACGGAATAATAGTTGATCACATATCTTGTCACAACCCTTACTTCTCACCTTGATATTCAATTTAGTCATTAGATTGCCATTAGTTTATTACAATCGATAATCTTAGTTTTATCAGTAGTCGATAATAACATAAATCAAAGGTTTATTATCCTGAATAGTCTTAAGCTGAAGATTTATTAGAACATTATTTAAACCAATCCATGTGGAGACGATTTAACACTATACTATCTTTGACTAGCGAGCCTAAGTTTTATACAGGGGTTTTGCGCTCGTCAAATTTTGGCGTTGTTGCCAGGGATTGGCAATTAATAGTGTTTGAATTAATTTTTGGTGGTAATTCAGGAGCAATTTTATTTTATTTTCGTTTTTTACGCTCCTCTTCTTCATTTTTTGGATGATTAAAGATTATTTACTTATTGCACCATTATAATTTTCTGAAGTAGTCCTATTCATAATCTTTTTCTATCAACATACTGAATTATTCACCCATCCAAGTGATCTTTGCCGATCGACGTCGCCGTCACATTTTTCGATCAAAGCTATTCAGCTGTTTTTGCAGAATCTTCTGCAATTCTGGTTCAGATCCTTTTATTCTCATCCATATTTTCCACAATTTAGATTCAAATCTTTGGGGAATAATCTTTTCTTGGAATAATCTTTTCTTGCAATTCGTCTGAACACTTCTCCTTTGGTGGAGGAGGCATCCATTTCTCTGACAGTTCTATTTTTTCTATTTGCTCTTCTTGTGCAGGAACGTCCATAACATATCGGATTTGAAAAAGAAGTCAGGAAAACAATACAGAAAAAAGCAGTAACGGAGCAAAGATTGTTTTCACTTTTCGAGCGAAGTTCTTGAAAGGGTCTCTCTTTCGCTCTAGCTTTTGTTGAGTCTCAAAAAAGATTAGTTCATTGTTCTCAGTTCTTTAATCAAATTATTTAGAGGAGAGGTTTCACATTTTGGCTGGGTATTATAACTACGCTTCAGCTTCTTAGCTGATCAGATCTGTTTGCTCCATCACGTGCCGGCGCCACATTTTCGTTAACTTCAAGGGCTACAATCCAGGTTTTATTGTTGTCTTGATATTTTAATAGTTTGATATTTTAGCTCCTTGCCTACTTAGTTGTTCTGAAATTGTATTTCTTTACCTGTTTTTCTGACCTTTAGTTGTAGATTATAGTTCCCTTTAGTGCCTTTATTTTATTTCTACACTTGTTTCTCTCACCTTTAGTTGTAGATTATAGTTTTCGTTAGTTATTTTATTTTAGTTCTTCACATGTTTTGCAACCTTTTAGTGGTAGATTATATTTCGATTATTCATTTTATTTTTGTCTCTTGCTTTCGGGATAGTGCTTGCGTAGTGACTCCTAGATTATTGTGGCTTTGGTGAACGATGGTAGGGTAAGGTCTTGTCATCGGGGGTGTCATCGCAGCGGAGGGAGTAAGGGGGTAAGATGGATAAGGGAGCTACTAGGCTGAGAGTGGGGTCTTGGAACATAGGAACTTTGACTGAAAAATTTGTAAAGTTAGCGAAGATTCCCGAGAAAAGGAAGATTAACATAGATTGTGTACATAAGACTAGGTGGGTAGGAGATAAGGCGCGGGATGTGGACAGGTTCAAACTATGATATTCTGGGAGGGTGGGGGAAGGAACGGGTTAGGTATCGTGGTTGATAAGGACCTCCATGAACTAGTGGTGGAGGTTAGGAGGGTGAATGACAGGCTGATAACTATTAAGTTAGTTGTTGAAGGTTTTACTTTGAACATAATCAGTGCGTATGCACCCCAAGCAGGCTTGAATGAGGAAGGCAAGAGACGTTTCTGGGAGGATATGGATAAGATGGTGCATGGTATTATGCATACCGAGAAGCTTTTCATAGGAGGAGATTTCAACTGCCACATTAGAACGACATCTGGAGGGTATGATGATGTGCATGGTGGCTTTGGTTTTGGAGATAGAAACGGAGGAGGAACGTCTCTGCTGGACTTTGCTAGAGCATTTGATTTGGTGATATCAAACTCGAGTTTCCCGAAGAAGAGGGAGCACTTGGTCACCTACCGGAGTTCGGTGGCCGAGACTCAGATTGATTATTTACTCTACAGGAAGTCCGATAGAGGTCTTTGCAAGGATTGCAAGGTCATCCCGAGTGAGAACCTCTCAACCCTTCATAGGCTCCTGGTCATGGACCTTGAGATCACGAGGAATAGGAGTAAGAGAGCAATGTATAGCCAACATAGGATCAAGTGGGGAGCATTGACGGAAGCTAAATCGCAGAACTTAGGGGTCAAGCTGCTGACTATGGGGGTTTGGAGGAGTAGTGGGGACGCAAACACTATGTGGATCACTACTGCGCAGTGCATTAGGGAAGCCACGAGAGAGGTATTAGGGGTATCAAAGGGTT